GTGGGATTCCTATTCACAGGACACTGTCCTTCAAAGTTTGTCACACGTCCTTCACTCCAAAGAAAGTGGGACCAACATCTAGTGCCCCAATCTCCTTCCTAGAAGTCACTGTCCTGGAAACAAGGTTGTGTATCAACTTCTGGTAAACTCAGACCAGGAGCGCCAGGCAGGCCGCACAGGGCAGGAGGGACCAGAAACGTGACCTCCTGAAGAGACTCCGAGACATCCCATAACACAACAGCCACAGCGTAACGCTCTGTCTGCACACACCTCACAGTTATTTCTCTGGGATCTGGGGCATCACACTAATGTCCACACGCTCACAGAACAGGTGGTGAAGTGAACGTCCCATAGGCCGGTACCAGGTTCCTGATGGCTGAGCTGGAACGTGACCTCCCCACACCTCCCAGGCTCGCTGTCTTCACATGCCCCCACCCACGTTCCCGTCGCCACCTGGGACATGAGCCCCCGTCCTGGGACATCTGGAACTGGCTTCTGCACACCCGGCAGCACCGTCCTCTGACAGAACCGTCTGGAAACGTCAGGAAAGCGCAGCCTGGGCGCCCCTTCCCCTTCCCCGGCCCAGGTCTGCGCTCGCGCCGCACGTCAGGCCCCGCCCGCCCGAGGCCCACGGCGCTTCTGCCCCCAAGTGCCGGGACACCGTCCTGTTCCTCAGAACCCCGAGCCCCGCGGGCTCCTCTTTCACCCTCGCACCCACCTTCAGGGACATACAATCCAGGGGCAGGATCTGAGCAGCAGTTTGGAGACAGCAGCAGCGTGGGCGGAGCCGCACATGCGCAGAACATACCCAGAAAAGTCCTTCCCATAGTCCTGCGCAGGTGGCCTCATTGCAGAGGAAAATTACATTTCCCAGAGGGCAGAGCGAGTGGAGCAGCACATGCGTAGAAGGAGCTTGGAATAGCTGTTTTGTACTCCTCTGCTGGTGACGTCATTGGAGGGCAAAACTACATTTCCCACAAGCCTCTGGGGTCATCCTTTAGAGACCAAAGGAGAACATTTTGTTTATTATCTCATCAGGGAGGCCTGTCACCAGGAGACCAGGACCTGACGGATGAAGAGTGGTCTCTATCCAGGTTACTGCGAGGTGGAATCCTGATTCTTTACTAAATCCCGGTTTGACAAACTGGGGCATTGTGAGAATAACGGGGAAATTTGAATGTGGGCCAATTTCAGCATGATATTAATAAGTAATTTTACTTTTTTTTAGTTGTCATATAGGTATTGCTATTCTAGAACCCACGTTTATTTCTGCAGATGCATTTAGATTATGAAAAACATCATGCATCATTTTCCTTTAAATGGTTAAACAAATGAGAATTAACGTGGTAACTCTCTTCTAAGCCATTAAAAAATGTTTGTTGTCTTCGAGTATACTCACAGCTGGCATGTCCCCAGCCTGGTGACAAGTCAGCTCACATCAAGACCTCTTGGAGCCTCGGTGCCCTCTATGACATGAGGTCAGTGACTCTGTTCCCATGGAGGAGGTTGGGCATCCAAGCTGCCCTGAGTTTGTGATCCCACCTTGTCCCACCCCAGAGAGGGGAGGCTTGCTGTGTGGGGACAGTCCAGGCAGACACGCTGGAGAAGCTGCTGGAGCACTAACTGTGGCACCTGGGCAGTGACCTCTCTGACTCTCCCATTTTCCTGTTCTCCTGCTGAGACCTCACCTCCACCCAATGGGTGCTGGACCTGCTGCTGGGAGGGTGAGCACCGCTCCTCTATGGCGCAGAGGTGACCCAGCTCCAAGTAGCTGTGGGTTAAGAATGTCACTGCTCCTGAACCGTTTGCATCTCTGAAAAGTGTGTGCCGAAAGGACCAGACCAAGAGGGTCATTGAAGGGACTACATGGAATGAGCCATGGAAAGTGCCTATCTAGTGTGTGCCCCTCTGGAAAGGACTGGAAGGTTGGGTCATGTTGACTATTTCCCTCTCCCCATGCAGCAGCCCCTGCCTCAGCTCTCACCAGCCCCTGGGTTTGCTTAGCACCATTTTCAAATTTGTAAGAGGTTCGGAATTCCATCTAGAGGTCCCTTGGGCAGGCATAGTGTCCCAGCTTCACTCAGGTGTATGGGAAGGTGCTCATTGGGGTTTATTCATTCAACAAACATATAGTAAAGTGCCTGCCACGTACAGTCACTTTTGTAGGCACTTAGCATAATCCATGAAACCGAACGGAACAAATTCCCGTCCTCCTGGGCTCCCACTCCAGTTGGGAGTCAACCAGTCACAGTAAGGCTCATAGCAGGTCTTGTCCAGACCACAGATGTGCTGCCTCCTGTAGATTAGGATGCAGCCTCCCATGTTATGGAGGGGATGGCTGACCTCAGTGATACCAAACTCAGGTCCAGCTGCCCACCCAACTGAGGAGAAAAAACCACAGAAGTCAAGTGGTAGGCATTAGAAAAGCTGATGTATTCAGCTGAAGGAGACAGCAGGCCATCCCATCTCAAAGAGTTTGATTTACTGAGTGGCTCCTAAAGGATGGCTTGAGGGAACAGAACATGGGAGGTGAAAAGCAGGAGAGAAGGGTACCTGGGCCTTGAGGGGTCCATGTCTACGAGTCAGGAGGTCTCACCAAGGCTTCTTCTGGTTTCTGTTCTCACCATCACTGTTATCTCAGGACCCTGCAAGATTTTGATTTGCTCCAGTGTAGAATCATCTTTTCTGCAGTGTTTTGCACAGTTTCACTTCACAGAGCTCTGGCTTGACTTGGCTGGTGCCCAAGGTCAGCTTCCATTCATTTGGCCTTGATTGTTTCTCAAAACTCTACAAGTGTCAAAGAGAGAACTGTTAGATTTCCAAAGTACTGATTAGCTTCTCAGCCTCGTTCTCCTCTTTAACAAGCAAGACAAGAAAGTCAGGGGATGGGAAGAAAGAGTGGAGAGAGAAAAAATCTGTCCTCTTAAAAGTCCCCTACCCCTTGCAGCCCAGAGGGTTTTAGTTCCCAACATGGCTTTAGTCCTGCTCACTCCAACACTAGGACCAGCTGGAAATGTGAGTGGACTCTGGGTCATGACGGAGGGTCCTGGCAGTACCCTGGCCCCACACACCTTGTCATTCCCACTGGAGGCCCAAGGTCTGGGGTTCCCTGCAGGAGGGAAGGAGTCATAGAGCTAATAATGGGGTCACACGTGCCCTGAGCATGAGAGCCCAGCACTGCCAGTATCAATCCCGACTCATGATGATGCAGAGCCCAGGACAGGGACATGGTGAGCCTCCTCCTCTCACATCAGCCAGCTACCTGAGTCCTTTGTTCCCAGCTGCATATGGGGCTGGGGTGGCTGCAGCCACCAGTCCTGAGAATCTCCTCAGTAGGAAGATGAGAATTTACATAACAGGTAGCACATTGGTGTCCTGACCCGCGGGACATTCAACGCAGACCCTGGAGGGGGTGTGGGAATTGGATGGGACAAGAGACGAGCACACGTCACAGCGCAGGCCACCGAGGCAGTGCTACAGGCCTCCTCCTGCCACACAGCAGCCAAGAAGCACTTCGTCCTCCTGCAGGTGGTGACGGGCCAGCGGAAGGGGCGGACGGTGGCGGCATGGAAGGACACCCGGCTGCCACAGCTCCTGCTTCCTGCCTGGTGGCGCTGCTGCGGGCATCGCTGCTTCTGAGTGGCTGATGGAGCTCAGCAGCCCCCAGGACTCCGAGTGGAGGGACCGTCAGTCATGCGCGACACCGGGACACATGCCCATCTCCGACACCACGTCCTGGAGGCCTCTCTTTTCCTGATGACCTTGGCATTGACAGTGTGGTGAGCAGCCACACCTGCCACTGTTGTGAGGTGCCCTCCTGCAAGAAATGCACTTACAGGCCACTTGTGGAGAAAAGGGCAGCTCATTCACCCCAACTGGCCAGCGACCATCTCTCAAGCAACAACCAAGGGTGGACAGCCCCGAGCCTTGATCCTGTGGGGTTTTTAAACTCAAAATGTACATCCCATTGGCACACGGGTTTGTCCAGGTGCACAAAGCAAGCAGGGAGCTGGGTCACAGAGGCCAAGAACGAGCCATTTGGGCAGCCAAGCATACAAGTTTTCATTGTGTATGTTACTGTTCCCACGATACAGTTCCCTGTGCCTGGCTCCTGTTCCCACGTGACAGTTCCCTGTGCCTGGCTCCTGTTCCCACGTGACAGTTCCCTGTGCCTGGCTCCTGTTCCCACGTGACAGATCCCTGTGCCTGGCTCCTGTTCCCATGTGACTGATCCCTGTGCCTGGCTCCTGTTTCTATGCAATGGCTGTTGTTTCTATGAGAAGGTCAATGGTCTCTCACGCAGAAGGGGGTTAGTCTGCAGGTCAGACAGGGCAAAATGCAGTCGGCGTACGTTATGAGAGTGTGGGGAGCTCTATTTCACCGCCCCGCCCCATCAGTAGGGCCCTGCGGGGACAAAGCGGTCATCGTTCATTCCAGGGGGTCCCAGATGTCAGTCAGTCAGTGCAGTGAGACGTACATAGGCAGGTGAACAAGTCCTCTGCCGCAGAGTCCCTGTGTAGTGACACAAGGCTGTGGCAGAAATGCAAGAGCCACCTCCCCCACCCCACCCCCAATGATGCTTCAATTGAGATGTTGAAAGTCTCTGGAATGAAGTGAGTGGGGACACCTTAGACCTCAGCCCTGGTGTAGCTGCCAGATGATGCAGCCACTTGAGTGATCCATCTCAGCCTCATTCAAATTGCGGACCACAGGATCACAAGCAAACAATGTGGCTTTGGGGTGGCTTGTGACAGCGCAGATGAGCAGTATGGGCCACTGTTGTACCACCCGGGGTTTGGATTCTGGCTGAGCTGGTGGCTCTAATGCATTGTCACCATCATCCTGCTCCCTAACCTGCGGACCTCCTTCCCTTTGTCACTGACACCAGTGAGCTCAGCTCTGCCTAGTGAGTGGCAGGCTGCAGGTGCCCCCATAATGGTCGCCCCATCCCCTCGCATCCCTCTCCCCCTGGGCCCATCCCTGCAACACCACGAATGGCATCAAACACGGGAGCCCATGAACACGGCCCAGGGTCGGTGCATCTCTGCCTGCCCTGCACACGTGGGTGGGGACGAGGCGCCCGTCCCGGGGCGTCTGAGGCGGGGTAGGCGGTGACACGGAGGGTGAAGAGGAGCCATCAGGGACAAGGGGCGCACAAGGTAAGAAGGTGGCGACCTCACCATGTGTGTCCCTCGCGGCAGCCAGCATTCTGCAGGCGTCGTGAGCGCTCCCTTCCTAGGGGATGAAGCTGCGGCCACACTGAGCAGGTTCTCTCTGGCTGATGACGATTCCCGACTGGAACAGCAGCGTCCTCCGCGGGCAGCCGAGCCGCCTCCGTCAGGAAGGCCTCCGGGTGCTTCAGCTCTAAGGAACCTGGTGCCAAGTGCTGCAGGATCTGTGGGGACAGGTCTTGGCTGTCCCTCTCCAGCAGTGACGGCATCTCTGCGGCCGTGTTCTCTGGGGCTCACCACGAGTCGGCCCTGAGTCCTGGACGTGCCTGTGACTGGATCCAGGTGGTGTCGGTCATCTGTGGTCCTCACCCCGCGGCCATATCTCATGTCCTGCAGACTCAGGGGAGCAGCTGCTGTCACCTGCACCCAGGCCTGTGCCCAGCCCTTCCTGCTGGGCCTTGGCACCATCTGGCCATCGAGACTGAGGTGGTGATGAGCCGTCCCCTCCCCAAACCCTGGGGGCTGGGACAGGGGTGGGACGAGGGTCGGCTGGGGATGGGGCAGAAGGACCAGAGCTGGGTCCTGGGCACGGTGGGGTCTGGAGTGGGCGATGAGGCCTAGAGTGGATGATGGGGGCTTCTGGAGGGGATAGTGGGAACTTAGTGGAATGGTGCACTGACATTACCTGGATTCACAGGTCGGGGCTGTGGAAGGCGTCTCAGGCTGTCCTTCAGATGAATGTTTTGTCAGAAGACTGTGCACTGCTAGAAGGCCAGGTGTGTGCTATGAAAGCTGGTCCCAGGAGCTTCACAAACAGTGTGGTCAAGTCCAAGATGGAAAAGGGGATGGGGATGTGCAGTGAGGTCCCACCCCAGCTCTGCCATGCAGGAGCCTGTTAGAAACGTACATGAGATTCAGTTTGCCCATCTGTAACATGAGCATATTAGGAATAGTAGGAAATGCCCCAAATTCCCAGAGAAGTGACGGTGCAGTGCGTGCAGACTGAGAGTTGCCACGTGGCAGCTGTGTCTGTGGGTGTCGGTTTCTCCCCAGCAGTGAAGTTTCTGTTTTCCTCCTCTAGTTTACAGCATGCTTAGCACCCCTGATGTGACATTCAAAAGTGGATGAAGGCCTTGTTTCCAGGCACAGTGTGTTGTATGAAAGAGACTGGGTCCTGGATGACGGTCCGATTTGCTTTGGAACAGAGTTGTTGTCACGCATTGTGAAGGGGGACCCTGTGGGTGGGAATTCACGGACAGGAGGGAGCAGGGGGCGGGCGGGGAAAAAGGGGGACGGGACTCTGAACGTCCAACGAATGTTGATTCACAACATGTGCTGGGCAAGCAAACTAAGCCGTACAGCAAAAGCGCCGCCGCTGATGATGACGACAACGACCAAAAGAAAAAACAAAATAAAACAAAACAAAAATCCAAGCAAAAAATGAGCGAGCCCTATGCTGACCCCTGGGAACCCTCTCTCCACCATGGCATGCGGTCATTCAGTGATACTGGTGTACTATGGAAAGGGGGGGGGGTCATCTGGCAAAAATGTCACTTTGCCAGCTGTGTTCAAGGCTCCCATTTGACCAGATATCGCCAACCTCTTTCACACCAACTTGCACAAGAACGACAGACAGCCCTATGCTGTCAGTGAATGGTGGCTGAAGATAAAATTGAAGGCCACAAGAAAACTTAGGAGGCCGTTTTGCTCCTTAAGAAAATTAAGGCATGGAACAATATCAGGAAAAGTCTATGTATTTGGACTCAAACTATATATCCTTCCTGCACACAAGATGACGAACAGAGCTTAGCAGATTCTTTCTTTCTTTCTTTCTTTCTTTCTTTCTTTCTTTCTTTCTTTCTTTCTTTCTTTCTTTCTTTCTTTCTTTCTTTCTTTCTTTCTTTCTTTCAATCTCTCTCTCTCTCTCTCTCTCTCTCTCCCCCTTCCCTCCCCCTGTCTTTCTTTCTTTCCCTTTTTCTTTGCAGAATTTTGGAATAGCCCAGAGATCCAAAGAGCCCACCGAGCACCACGCAAGAAGATTAATCGCAGCGTCCTGAATGAGAAGCCGCTGGAAAACCTGTGAAAAATCATATTGATGCTAGACCCATATGCAAAGACAGCCACAGCAGATAAGGCAGCAGCAGCACTAGAGCCCGAATCAGATGAGAACGGGGTTGCAGGCAAGAAGCCCGTGGTGGGGAAGAAACGAAAGAAAGCTGTTGGTGTTGAGAAGAGAAGCCTTTGAGACAAAAGGCTGCAGCTACCAAGAAACCAGCAGCTGAAAAGAAACCTTCCTTCCCTGGAAGAAAAGAAGCCCGCCGCATAAACTGTCAAGTTTACTTCGTAAAAAGTCAAATCGTTTTGGACGGGTTATTTTGAATAAAGACCTGACCAAAGAGGCAGTGAAAAGAAGAAAGGGGGGAAAAATGGTTTCGGGGTTAGAATGGTCAGAGGGGACTGGAATTTTGGCCCAACACAGAGTTTCCTTCCCCTCCCCTCCTGCAGTTTAGAAGTACAGCTCGAGGAAGGGGCGTGGAGGGGAGCCCTTCACTAGAGAAGCCTCAGGCCACGTCAAGAACCAGAGCTTTCTGCATTTGAATGAAGCCAGAGAAGGAGGTGCTTTTGAACGGCGAAGTTCTCCTTTACATTCGGAACTTTTCTAACAGGCACCGGAGGCCTAGCGTTTGCCCCGTGTCGGCTTTCTGGACAGCACTTCCTCACTAGCTTCTTTATTTCTGGCTTTTGATTTAAAGTGACAGACGTGTGACCCTTCCCTTCGCTGCAATGCTTTAGAGGCCATTGTAAGGTTATTAATTGGCGTCCTTCCGATACTGCTGTGTGTCAGGAAACCGGAAGACCCAACGAGAGGCAGAGACACGGTGGCGTGGAGGGGTCGCCAGCCGGCAGGTGGAGCAGTTAGAACACACAACATCAATGGATTTATTTCGCCATCTTCTACGGGCGCCGTTCCTGGTGTCCCAAAACAATGACGACGGTCATCTCACAGATCGGTGGTCACAGATCACCCCATAACACGGATAATAAAAATAGGAAAAATTCCAAATATTTGTAAGAATTACCAGAGTAGGACACAGAGGTCCAAACGCTGCAAGTGTTGCTGTCCGAAGCCAAAGAAATCAAAGAGTGACATCAGCTGCTGCTGCTGCTGCTGCTGCTGCTGTTTCTTGTGTCATGGTGTTATGGTCAACGTCTGATGGGTAAAAGAAATTTGTCCACGAGAAGCGGGTGATAGGAAAAGGAAAAGAGTTTATTTCTGGCAGCCAGGGCTATGCAGGCCAATCGAGGAGCGCAGCCCCGAGTTGAAACCTCTCACAGCTTTTATTTTTAGCTAGGCGGGAATTTTTCACACCTGACACAATCTAGCCAATGCAAGCAAGCCAGCGATACATAAGCTAATTTAGTGTTTAGCCCTGTAGCCCCTCCCCACCCTGGATTCCCCATAGGGACTTTTCAGGCTAAAATGGCAGAGCCGCCTAAAATGGCGTTGGCCCTGCTACTCTGTTTATTCCCCCATTTATTTTAGCAAGCGACTTGTACAGAAGCAGAATGCATATGTTAAGGTCAGTAGGGGTTGAGGCATCCCTTAACATTCCCCCCTGTTGTTGTAGCTGTAGCAAATCATTGCTATCTTAGGGGTTGAATTTTAAAAAGCATGTTAAAGTCTCTTTAGTCTTATCTTAGCTGGGCGGTTGGTGGTCTGGACACTCCAGCAGTCAGTGTTGGGGTTTGAGTTTGGTGCCAGTTTGACGTGAGTCCAATGTATCCAAGCGTCCTTTCCGGCAACCTTTACAGCTGTGGGTGTGCTGAGGATCACCGGGTATGGTCCAGTCCAGCAGGGCTGGACAGATGAGGCAGTTAACGTTTTTTTTTTTGTCTTTTTCCGTGTCCGGCAACGCATCGCAAGCCTCAGTGTCGCCCCCGTACTGGACCAGGACCGGCAACGGGATTGCAACCCTCAGTGTTGCCCCCGCGCCTCGCTCAGCCAGTGAGCGGGAACCGGTCTGTATGTGGGATCCGAACCCTTGGCGGGAACGCCACCGCGCTTCCCAAGTGGCGCACTAGCGCAGCGCGCCACCGGGCCGGCCCCGCAGTTAACATTTTGATGTACACGAAGTCCCCGGGTTGAGGGATGGGTCCAGGTGGCTCCTGCTTTGGAAGGGAAGCGTTAGCATTTAGTTTGTCTCTGATTTGTGAACAAATCTGTTGTAGGGTTTGAAGTTCCCCCAAAATAGGGGCAGGCAGCTTTTGGGGGTCAGCCTCCATTGGCACCCTGGTAATAGGGGTGGGGGGCGACCAAAAAGAATTTCATAAGGTGTATATCCCTGTTTATATGGGGAATTTCGTACCCTTAATAGTGCAAAGGGAAGGAGTCTACCCAGTTTTCGCCAGTTTGTAAATGAAGCTTAGTCAAGGTTTCTTTTAAAGTTCTGTTCATGCGCTCAACCTGTCCTGAACTTTGAGGGTGGTAGGCGCAATGTAACTTCCATTCTATTCCCAAGCATTTGGCCAACTGTTGGGATACTTGTGCCATAAAGGCAGGTCCATTATCTGACCCGAGGGTTGTGGGTAGACCAAACTGGGGTAAAATTTCATTCTCTTTTAAAGTTCTGTTTATGTGCTCAACCTGTCCTGAACTTTGAGGGTGGTAGGCACAATGTAACTTCCATTCTATTCCCAAGCATTTGGCCAATTGTTGGGATATTTGTGCCATAAAGACAGGTCCATTATCTGACCCGAGGGTTGTGGGTAGCCCAAACCAGGGTAAAATTTCATTGATTAATTTTTTTACTACTATAGAGCCTGTTTCAGACTTGGTAGGAAATGCCTCAACCCATCCAGAATATGTGTCTACTAATACAAGCAGGTATTTGTATCCATACCTTCCAGGCGTAACTTCAGTGAAATCAACTTCCCAATGTTCTCCTGGAGTATTACCTGTTTGTCGAACTCCAGACCATCGATGATGACCTGTTTAGAGTTTACTTGAGTACATGCAAGGCATCGGTTAATTAATGATTCAACAATTTTTGATGCATTATTAAAATTAAATGATTGTCTAATTAATTCTAATAGCTTTGTTTTCCCTAAATGGGTGGCTTGGTGAATTTCATGAGCCAAGCATTGACCCATTTTTTCTGGTAGCCATATGGCTTTGTCCTTTGATTCATACCACCCAGTGGTTATGTTTTTTTGGTATCCCGATGTTTCAGCCTTTTTCTCATCTTCTGGAGAGTACTCAGGTTTTAGTGGCAAATGAGGTTGTGGTAGCAAAGGTTCTATGATTGACGTCCCGGTTGGTTGGAGTGCCACTGTTTTAGCAGTCTTATCAGCGAAGTTATTTCCTTGAGTTTCTACAGTTGTTCCCTTTTGGTGTGCCTTGCAATGAATAACTGCAACCTTGGTTGGAAGCCAAATAGCTTCTAATAGTGCAAGAATTTCAGGAACCTTTTTAATTGTCTTTCCTTCTGAAGTGAGTAACCCTCTTTCTTTGTAGAGGGCCCCATGTATATGTACAGTGGCAAAGGCATATCTACTGTCAGTGTAGATATTTACAGTCTTACCTTCACTAAGCTGAAGGGCCTTTGTGAGAGCGATAAGTTCTGCCTGCTGGGCTGAGGTCTGGGACTCAAGAGCTTCTACCCATAGTACTCGTTCAGGAGTAACCACCGCGGCACCTGCATACCTGAGTCCTTCAACCATGTAGCTGCTGCCATCTGTGAAAAGAGTTAGCTCTGCCTCCTTGAGAGGAGTGTCCTGCAACCCTAGTCGGGTGCCCTGGATGGCGGCTAAGATTTCAAGGCAATTGTGTGCAACTTCGCAGCGGTCAGGATCACTGTCAGGGAGCAAGGTGGCTGGATTTAGGGCAACCAGGTTGGAGAATGTAATATGTTTGGGTCCAAGCAGTTGGGTCTGGTAATGAGTTAACCTTGCATCTGAAATCCATTTTCCTGGTGGGGTTTTTAGTAGAGTCTCTACCCCATGAGAGGTAACAATATTTAGGAGCTGGCCCAAGGTTAACTTATTAGTTTCTTTTACTAGGAGTGCAGTTGCAGCTGTAGCTCATAAGCATGTGGGCCAGCTGGTGGCCACTGGGTCCAGCTTGCGTGGCAGGTAAGCCACCAGTCATTTCCATGGCCCTAGATCTTGGGTTAGCACCCCCTTTGCAATGCCCTTGTTTTCGGCCACAAATAAGGTAAAAGGGTTTTCTAGATTGGGCAGTGCCAGGGCTGGGGCCTGCGTAAGAGCGGCCTCTATGTTGTTGAATTCCAATTGGAGTCTCTCAGTACAAGTAATTTGATCCCCTGGTCCCTTAGTAGCCTCATAGAGGGGGTGGGCCATTTCAGCAAAATTGAGAATCCATAAGCGACAGTATCCTGCAGCTCCTAGGAATTCTTGAATTTGCCTTTTAGTCTTTGGCTCTGGTATATTCAGGATGGCTGTTATGCAGTCATGGGACAATTTCCTTTCCCCTGCGCTTAAGATATATCCCAAATATGTCATCTTCAGGGAGCAAAGTTGGGCCTTTTTAGCGGATACCCTGTATCCTAGGTATTGTAAGGTCTTTAATAGATCCACTGTGGCTTGTTTACAAATCTCCAGGGTGGGTGCAGCCAATAGCAAATCATCGACATATTGTAATAGTGTTATATTTGATCCCAACTTTACCTTGAAATCTTATAGGTCTCGGCTCAGCTCTTCATCAAACAGCATAGGTGAGTTTTTAAATCCTTGGGGCAGTCTAGTCCATGTTAGTTGACCAGAGTAGCTTCCATCTGGGGCTTCCCATTCAAAGGCAAACAGAGGCTGGCTGATTTTGGCTAGGGGCAGACTGAAGAAGGCATCCTTTAAATCCAACACTGTATAAACCTGATGGAGGTGATTAACCAGGCTCAACAATGTATAGGGTTTGGTACAGTTGCATGGATAGTTTCCACCCTCTTTTTGACTTCCCGGAGGTCCTGGACAGGCCTGTAGTCATTTGTCCCTGGCTTTTGGACTGGTAACAGGGGAGCATTCCAGCTAGACTTGCAAGGCACTAGTATCCCTTCTTGTTTTAACTTATTGATGTGAGGTTCTATCCCTTGTCATGCCTTTAATGGAAGAGAGTATTGTTTTACTCTGATGGGGGTGGCAGTTGCCATGAGCTGGACCACTATTGGAGGTTGGTGCCTTGCTAACCCAGGGGGATTAGACTCAGCCCAAACTTGGGGCACAAGTTTCATGTAATAAGCTAGCAATTCTTGGTGGTTGGAGGTTTTATCCTCCTGCAATTGTTCTGGCAAGAGCTTATATTCTTCAGAGAAAGACAGTGTTACCAAAAGGGTGGAAGTTTGCTCCAAGCTTAGTGGAGCAGCCTATGACTTAAAAGTGATAGTTACCCCCAGTTTGTGGAGTAAATCTCTGCCCAGTAAAGGCACTGGGCAGTCAGGCATTAAAATGAATGAATGAGTGACTGTGTTCCTGCCTAAGTTGGTGAGTCGCCTTTCTGTCCATGAACAAAATTTAGTTTTTCCTCTGGCACCTTGAATGGCAATGGGGGGTTTATTACTAGGCAATTCTGTTTTTCTCAGTACAGAGTAGGTAGACCCCATGTCCACCAAAAATGATACTGGTTTGCCCCCTACTTGAAGAGTTAGCCTGGGTTCCTGGGGGTTAAGGGGCATGAAACCCTGACCCCATCAGTCTTCTGTGTCTCCACCCAAATGAAGCACAGTATTAGTCTTTTCAGGCTTTTCCTGTAACCGGGGGCAAGCCTTTTTCCAATGACCTTTTTCCTTACAGTAGGCACATTGGTCTTTATCCAATGGTGGGCGTTTTTCTTGCCCCCATCTTGACTGCTCCTTTAGGGGCCTGAGGTTTCTTGGGTTGGTGTTGTGTGGCAAGCAGAACCTTAGTCTTTTAAGCTGCTTATCTTCAGGTGGGTTGCAATTTGCAAAAACCTTTTGGGCTATTTCTACCAACTCTGAAAGAACCTTGCCCTCAAATCCCTCAAATCTCTGCAACTTCCATTTTATATCGGGTGCAGACTGAGTTACAAAGGCCAAAATAATTGCCCTTCGATTTTCAGGTGCTTTCGGGTCTATGGGTGTATTGATTCGGTACGCCTCTAGGAGGCGCTCTAAGAATGCACTTGGAGATTCGGTGGGCTGTTGGATTACTTCACTAACCTTAGATAGGTTTGTGGGTTTTTGGGCTGCAGCTCGAACCCCTCATAACAGGACCTGACAAAACTGATCGAGAGCCTCCTTACCTCTATTACTATTTGGGTCCCAACCGGGGCGGTGGGTGGGGAAAACAGCAGCCAATCGCTCAGGGTCATCCATGGGGAGACCATTGGGGCCCAGGACAGCCCGTTGGGCCTCTCAATGGATTGGTTCACATTCCTCAGAAGTGAACAGTCTGTAACAATTGTTGGCATCATCCCAGGTGGGCTGGTGAGTATAAAAGACAGACTCAAGCAGAGACATGAGACCGTGTGGATTGGCGGAAAAGGAAGGGTTCTGGTTTTTCCAGTTGTAAAGATCACTGGTGGTAAAGGGAACATATAACATAAAAGGGCCATTTACCCCTGTGGCCTCACGCAAGGGAAAAAGTCCAGGAGAGGAACCAGTTGAGGAAGGTGAAGAAGGGGAAGCAGAGGAAAGAGAGGAAACTGGTGGGGTGGGACGCTGGAGGAAGGAGGGGACACTGGTGGGGCGGGACTCTGGAGAGACAATATGAGGCCCCAGAGTGGGTGTGGGGAGAGATAAGTGGGTTAGACACTTGGGTGGGGTCCTCTGCATAAGGTGGAGAGCAGCAGATCAGGTCTGGCTCCTCTGGAGATGTTGATAAAACTTGCTTAGGGGCAGAATCAGGGTGCGGCTTAGTCAGGAGAATGGCAGCAGTTTCTCGGCGGCAAGCGTTTTTCTTTAACCCTGGAAAACATCTTTTTAACCAAGGAGGAGGGTAAGACAGAATTTCAATCCAAATGAGAATATAAGGTATCTGATCAAGGTGTGCAGGTTTTCTGAAGATGACCCGTCTGACAGCCTGAGCTAAGGGGAGGCTAAGAGAACCCTCTGATGGCCAGCCAACACTAAAGGCTGGCCAATCAGTTTCACAAAGGACTCGCAAGACTTTGGGGTCCACAGAGGCCCCAAAGTCTGCAGCCTTCTCTCAGAAGGTGTTAAAGTTCATAAGAAAACATTGGAGGACAGTTGGTCTGGCGGATCCTTGTCTGATGATGTCCTGTGGAGCTGAAATGGCCAAGCTACACTTATAGCAGGCAACACAAAACGAAACTAGATGAACAAAAGGACTTAAACACAGACCGAAACTAACAAACGATATGCATATAATAAAAGATTTTAAAATCAAAATGAAAGTCCCAACGACCTAAAACAGGTCCCAACGAATCAGAACGACATCTCGTTTAATCCAGGGAAAGAGGCATCTATGACTGCGTCCAGCCTAGCCTTTTCCCAACCAAGGAGTCGACTCACCAAATTTGATGGTGCCTGCCGTGGGTTTGTCTCTCTGGGGCTGAAGAACGTCTTTTCAGGAATTCCCCCCTAGAGATCCAAAAAGTCCCAGGGCCAAAAGGACGGTTCTTGAGAGGCTTAAGCGATCCTGGAAGAGCCCCCAAATGTTATGGTCAACGTCTGATGGGTAAAAGAAATTTGCCCAAGAGAACCGGGTGATAGGAAAAGGAAAAGAGTTTATTTCTGGCAGCCAGGGCTATGCAGGCCAATTGAGGAGCACAGCCCCAAGTTGAAAACTCTCACAGCTTTTATTTTTAGCTAGGCGGGAATTTTTCACATCTGACACAATCTAGCCAATGCAAGCAAGCCAGCGATACATAAGCTAATTTAGTGGTTAACCCTGTAGCCCCTCCTCACCCTGGATTCCCCATAGGGACTTTTCAGGCTAAAATGGCAGAGCCGCCTAAAATAGCATTGGCCATTCTACTCTGTTTATTCCCCCATTTATTTTAGCAAGCGACTTGTACAGAAGCAGAATGCATATGTTAAGGTCAGCAGGTGTTGGAGGATCCCTTAACAATAGTTGAATGCATATATCTGTGGGGTACACAGTTGAATATGAGAGCATCGCATATTGCACACAGGTATTGATATTCAACTGTGTACCCCACAGATATGTGCAATCAACTACATATGTGGTGCTCAAATCGGGATAACCGGCCTGTTCAACATTATAGGATATAATTGTTTTTCTAGGCCCTTTACTGATTCCTCCCTTACCCCCTTCTTTCCCTCACCCTTCCCCACCTTTGGTAACCTCAGTTCTGTTCTCTCCTTTTGAACATTCAATGTATTATTGTGATCACTGTATCATTTCTTCCTCTCTTCCCTTTTTATTGATTTGTTTGCTCTTTTAGCTCCTAGTTATGAGTGAGGACATGCGGTTTTTCCTAGAAAGGAGGCTGTGAGTCCATTTACTGAGAAGTCAGTGGAATCTGTAGTAGCTCAGGCTCAGGCCTTTTAAGAAAGAGGCAGAGATAAGGACAAGAGCTAGCTGTAAAGGAGCAGAGCTCTTAGTTGTAATTAAACTTTAGCAGGTATATATTCAAATTAGAGTGTTATCACTTTAGGTTTTTTGATGGAAGCGCCACAGTAACCACAGAAATAATAATAATAGTAATAACTACAGAAGCTACACAAAGGGCTGGCCTGTCAGCTCAGTCGGTTAGACCGTGGCATTATAACCCCAAGGTCCGGGGTTCAGGTCCCCACGCTGGCCGAACAGCCACCAAAAAGAAACCAACCAACCAACAACAACAACAACAACAACAACAACAACAACAACAACACACACACACACACACACACACACACACACACACACACACACATTTAAAAAAAACCGTGAGAGATAAAAAGCTAAAAAGGTAACAACTATAGAACCTACACAGAAGGAAATGAGAAAGGAATCTAAACATTTCACTCCCCCCCCCACCATTCAAGTACACAGAGAAGAAGACAGTCATGTAAAAAATAAAGGCCCTGAAATGCTACAAGGCACGCAGGAAAACAAACTGATGAAATGATAGTAGGAGAGTTCCTTCTCATTTCTTTCTATGTGAATTTCACTCCCCCCCACCACCACCATTCAAGTACACAGAGAAGAAGACAGTCATGTAAAAAAAATAAAGGCCCTGGAATGCTACAAGGCACGCAGGAAAACAAACTGACGAAACGATAGTAGGAGAGTTCATTCTCATTTCTTTCTATGTGAACGGATTCCACTCTCCAATCAAGCGACACAGAAAGGCAGGCTGGATAAAAGAACATGCAACAGGCCTATGCTGTCTACCAGAGATTCACTCCAGATCCAGAGACACACAGATATCACAGACACGGAAACTCCTCTCCCCCAAATCCAGCCATTACAAACACCTAAAAAGGTCGCTCTCTCCCTTCTCTCTTCTCCCTTCTCCCCTGAAAACCCTCATTCCCAAGGGGTTCTGTCCCTTCCCCAAGAAAAGAAACGATCTACACAGAGGCCAAGGAGAATCCGAATCAACAAGCTTCCCTCAGTCTGCGACTGTGAGATCACATTTCTATATCACTATCTGTTCTCCATCGAACCTCAGCATACAACTACACAGTTTTCCCTGGGCCTATCTGAAGGCTCCCTTGTGAGGTAAAACATTGACTCAGCAGGTTTGTTATGTTTTTCTCTCCCTAACCCATAAGAAAAGCCTATCATGCTTTTCTGCCCCTACACAGGACACAAAAACTAGATGACCTTCCCCTGAAGTAGGTCATGAGAGCTTCATTCCAGAGGGGTACTGCTTTATACAAAAAGGAAAGGAAGTAAGACTCAAAGAAATGGAGAGAAATCTGAACAAACAGGCCTTGCCATATGACATCTCCATCAAGCCCCCTCCCCCCGAGTTCATTATCATGAGATGGCACCCTTAGATCCTATGCAGCAACATCAACTGCATGTTCAAGGTAGCATAGCATATGTTGCCACAGACCATTTTGGGATTTGGTGAGCTATTTTTTTCTCATAGGTAGAAAACAATTTCCTACGGTAAAAGGTTATACATACACGTGTACATTGTTCGCCCTGTCAATATGAGTTTCTCCATCCCTGAGGTCAGGTACAGTGTGATTGCTGCCTTGAAAAGTGAGCAGGAGGTTTTGAGAAGTCAGAGAAAAGGGGAAAAAAGGGAAGAAAGAAAGACAGAAAGACAGAGAAACTTAAGTAAGCAGAGAGAGAGAGAGAGAGAGAGAGAGAGAGAGAGAGAGAGAGAGAGAGAAAAGAAAGAAAGAGAAGTAAAGAAAAGTCAGTTTGAGGGCCAGCCCGTGGCTCACTCGGGACAGTGTGGTGCTGACAACAACAAGTCAGGGCTTAAGATCCCCTTGCTGGTCATCTTTAAAAATAAAAATAATTATAATAATAATAAAGAAAATAAAAAAATATCGTGAGCAGGCTATGATTTTAAAGGCTAACATTCTTCCTGCCTTCCATTTGTCACGACAGATACTATGGTCATTTACAAATTATGTTGACTACCCCTTTGGACTGAAGATTGTAGAAAAATATAAACTTCCTTACAGTTTTGTAACAAATCCTAGCTAATAACACTCTAAGTAAAGCAGCTTCTAAGGGGTTATTAAGCACCTCCTAAGGGGCTATTCAAATATAAAGCAGCTTCTAATGGGCTATTAAGCAGCTTCTAAAGAAACCTTACAAAAGGCAGGTGGGCCCAAGTACACTAAACATTAAAAGAAGGGGAAAGCCCCCACCTGGTTCCAAGAACTGGCTAGTTTCTTATCTCCCCAAGGAAGATATACGATTGAGAGAAGCACTGTTTCTTATCAGTGGTACCAGCCTGCTAAAGCCGACCTGTAAATCTAAAGGTGCCACAGATCTATCGGGGTGCCAGCATGCTAAAGTCTGCCCATAAATCCAAGGGCGCCACAGATAACCAACAATTCATCCTGTCATAAAGGTTTGTTCATGAAAAACTGTATAAAAGGTGCTTGTATTGTAAGCTCATTGCCACTTTTGTCCTGAAGACAAAGCGACCCCAGCATGTTGGAATGATGAAACCTCATGTTTATTGCAACGGTCTCTATCTCATGGTCCTTGTAAGGTGAGCCATCCTGACATGGGGGATTTGTGCATGGTGCATGGGTCTTACATTTTGGGGGGCTCGTCCGGGATCCTGCTCGCTCTCTCCAGGACCAGAGACTAGAGAATGGAGGATTGCTTGAGCAAGGTACCACGGTTGTCTCTGTCAGTCTGCTGTGTCTGTCTTAGAGTCTTCTTTGTTGTTTACTAAAATCTTGTTTTCAGTGGCTCCAGGACG